CCTGTCTTGGAGCCACCTGGGTCCTACCCATAGCCTCCGCAACCACCAGCTGCTGCACAGTGCCCACACTGTCCCCACGTGCAGCCCCGAACAGACATCCCTCCACAGCACCACGCTGGCCAAGGCCCCAGCCGGAGCCCATCCCCACACAGGCCAACACCTTCCACTGTGCCCTGCAGCCCATGTTCTCTTTGTCCTCCACCTCCAGCCCTCCCGGGGCAGGGGGGCTGACAAGGGGGCCCTCTGCCACCACACAGTCCTGCTCTCCAGGTCTCCCACCCCCTGAGGGTGCCCTGGGCCTTGCAAGGCACTGGCACTGCTCAGGCTCTGTGGCAGTGCTCGGGGTTACAGCGACGAGAGGGAGTTTCCCAGCCCCACGAGCACAAGGAGCTGCCTCCCCCAGCCCCTCAGGCCCCCACTGCAGAGGCCCCAGCGCTGGCAGCACCCTAGCTCTCACTGCACACTGCTGTGGTTTTGACATCTTGTGGCACTGAGAGGTTGCTGGCAGTGCCAGGGCACCCCACGGTGAGGAGTGCGGAGCCCACGGATGCTGCACTGCAGCCAGGGCAGCCTTCGTCTCCCCAGGGTCCTTCCCTCACGCACCCCGTGCTCACAGCCGGCGTGCCTCCCACAGCACCCTGCTTACGGGCAGGGACCATGCCGGGCACCGAGGCCAGGCAGGCGGCCCTACCTCCGCACTGCAGCCCGCTTCTGGGCACTGATGTTGTCCCACCACTTGGAAAAGAAGGAGATCTCGGACCAGATGAATCGCCGGCGTGGGTCCTCCTGCATCTTTAGCACCATGCTGTTGAGGATGTGCTGTGTCTGGTCATAGTAGTACTTGTCGAAGGTCTTGATCCAGCCTGCCAGCATGCGTGGGGGGTCACTGTGTGGGGCCCAGTCCTTCTCTGCCAGCAGTGTGGGCCAGCAGGGGCTGGGCTAGCCCTTCCCCTCCCTTGCCCACCTTCACCCACTGCTCACCCGGGTCATTGTGGGAGTGCGGCACCACAAACACCTGCAGAGGCTCAGCGTCCCACTCATTGGGCTCATAGGTGATATCGAAGCCCTGCTTCCACACACCACCATCCTGGTTGTCAAAGGGCAGCAGGGAATACACGGCCAGCATCTGCCAGGTGGGAGACAGGGCTCAGGGCAGACACCAGATTGAGAAACCCCCAACAGAGTAGGGCCAGGACCCCACGGATGCCCCGGTACGGACCCCCTTGCGCTAGCAGGGGCTGAGACACTGGCCCCTCACCTGCAGGTCTGGGCTCTGGCCCTTGCCCCCCAGGGCAAACTGGCAGTCCTGTGGGGAGACGGAGAGGAAGCTTGGGCGACTCTCAGGGGGCAACACCCAGGAGCCATTGGGCGTGTGGTGGGGCAGCGCTGGCTGCTCCTCCGCGTGGGCCGTCAGCTCCAGCACTGAGTCCTTGATGTGGCTGATGATCTCGTGGTTCTCCTCCAGCAGCTGCTCCAGCTGCTCAATGCGGTTCTGCAGCACCGAGATCTGACTCTGGGGACACAGACGCCGCAATGAGAGCCTCCGGTGCCCTTTGCCAGGCAGGTCCTGTCCCCCATGTGCACTGACACCAGCAGGGAGAAGCACCAGCCCAGGCAACCGAACGGCCTCAGGCTCTGCCGGCTGGCCCCTGCTAGCCCTGGCCCGCTTGCCTGCTCTTCCG